ATAATAATAAAACTTCTCATTTCCTATATTTCTAAAAAACTTTTATCTAATAAAACGACTGAAAAAATTTTCTCTCAATTTCTATAAAACTTCTTAACGTTGTATACAAAACAGAAAGAAATATAAATAAATGTTTTCAAAAAACTTGTTTATCTCTCAATTGCATTAACAAAAAAAGTTTTTGTATAGTATACTCACTTTTTTATACAGATTATTGTGCAGAATATTCTACATTTTAGAGATTATTTTGTGTTCATTTGAATATTACATAAATGCAACTCAAAATATATTTTTGTTTTTAGCTTTAAAATAAACTAATTTAACTTTTGAAATACAAATACAGTATATACTAGTTTTGAAAACATATTATAAATTAATAGAAAGTAGTTTTATATTATTGCATTTTATGTAACTAGTCAACTATAACTTACAATTTATTGTAATAAATATTTAATATTCACATTAGCTTACTCATTTAGTATAATTATTATTATATGCTAGCTTATATATTTATTAAAAATTAAGCATATTATGAGAACCAAGAGCCAAAATTATCAATTTTAGCCGTCTCATATTAAATATTTTACAATAAATAATATTTTACAGTTTGTTAAAAACTGTTATTTTTAAAATAATACGTAAAATATTTTCATTTATTAATTAATGATAATAAATGTATACATTGAATGTCATGTATATTTTACATATCAATCCTAATATCAGTTTCAAAGCCACAGAAAACTTTTAAATGTATGATTAATAATGTATTCAGTGATACAGTGGTTGCGATATAAAGTGTTTTACGAAATACAATACAAAAACACAAAACCAAACGCACAAGTGATCGATAATAGCGGCGATTAGATAAGGCTTTACAATACGCTATCAATGGTGCGATGCGTTTGGTGTGAATGGAAAGCCTATTATATTTGTTCACCGGTCACTAATAGTGTAGTTTAATGTTTTATATATAATGTATAGATATTTGTCTTAATTATTTTAATTCACATATTTTTTCTCCCAATTCTTTCGGTTAATTATATTGAAGTTTATTATTGCGATTCGTGTTGCGAAACACACATTAAATATACATTTATGCCATTATAAAGTTAGGATTACACGGGAAATACATTTATATGTGTGTTGTATTGTGTTTAAATATACAGTACACTATAGCGTGGAAAGTATAGTAATTAATTGGTGAATAAAATATGATATAAATTAATGATTAATGTTTTATAACCAAATAAAACTATAAATAAATAAAACTATTTTAAAGTTTAAAAATTTATTTATCTCTCGGACAATAAAATTTTATACCATGTACATGTATCTAATAATCCATATAGTGTTCAAATAAAATCAAAGTGATATTCAATTTATTTTTATATTAAATATATAATCGTTTTTATATATCTATTGCTCAGATAGTGGAGAGAGAGAGAGAGAGAGAGAGAGAGAGAGAGAGACTATTGAACTTATTTAAAGATAAATTATATTTTAAGCGAAAAAACAGTATTTCCTTTGCTTTTCGTTTTCGCTGTTTAGATAAGAGTAGCGAATGAACGACACGTTTAGATAAAGGACTCGAAGAAAAAATAGTGTAAAAAATTTCTGGTGATTACGTGTGAAGCTGGAGATCCAGTGTTGAGATCCAGTGTTAAACATACACTGAAAAAGATATTTATTATGAGAAATATGGTGTTCATCGATGACATCGAAATATAAGCAAACATTGGATACAATGCATAGACAGACAGCTTATGGATTGGGTGGAGATTTTTGGCAGTCTATTGAAGTTTAAGGGCGATGTGATTGGTGTGATATATGGCTATTCTCTGTTATTAGACATTTAAGTAGACAAGGTGAAAATAATGTGTAAACCACTTGACCAAAATCATAATACTAATAAACATCGCACAATTATCTAGCAAATTTTAAATCTTTAAAATATAATATATAAAAGATAAATTAAAATAGGTAATAAATTTGAATAAAATAATTATTTATAATTAAATATCTCTATTTGTACAATGGTTATTAAAGTATTAATAATTTTGTATTTAATTATCAAGCAATAATTTGCAATCATCTAAAATTTAATCTACTAGTAAGTTATCCATAAATATAACAAACACGCAAATTTCCAAAACATTATGAAAAGTTTATTGCATTTTATTATTAAATTAAAGTATAAAACCTATCTATTTGTTTATCAAAAACTATTGTTTGTTATATAACTTATAACTTATATATAATATATGGGACACAGTCTTAGCAAAAAAGGAAACTAAAATCAATTTTCGAGTTTTAATACAAAATGTATTATTCTTTGCGTTTTATGTGTGTATTTTGAAGTGAAATATTTGGCAAAACAAATACTCTTTGAATTTAAAAGGAGAGAGAAAAATTTTCGTACACTATTTTGCACATAAAAAATAAAAATCAATTTTTCTCATTCGATACTACACTCAATATTATGTTTTATTTTGCTCTCTCTCTCTCTCTCTCTCTCTCTCTCTCTCCCTCTCACTCGAAGTTTATATAATATATATTGAGAAACAAACAAAATAAATTGTATTTTGCTTTTTATATATAAGAAAACTTTTATACACTTTACAAACACAGACACACAATGCTTTAGTGTTGGAATATAGTGTACGGTATAGCACACAACACAATGGAAAATATTGAATCATTTATTATATTATTTATACAGTATTTCTCGCACCAATATATCACACGAATGAATGTGTGAATGCAAACACCGTTTCTTGACACCAGTATAATGTAATATGCGAAATAAAATACTGCATGCTTACTTTTTTAAATGTAACATACTAGTATATAACCTAATATGTAAATATTCAGGAATATTCTGTAATGATTTATGTAGGAAAATTTGTATACATTTATTTATGTTACAAAAAATGGATTATATAAACTCTTATAATTAGAGAAATTATTTTCAACAAATTTAACAAAAATAATTTAAGTATGTGTGTGTATGTATGTATGTGTGTGTGTGTGTGTGTGTGTGTGTGTGTGAGAGAGAAAGAGAGAGATTCCTTAATTAAGAATAAGAATTAATGTTTTTATGCAAAATCTTTTATATGAAGTAATTCTAGTTAATAAAATTTTTTTTGGAGATAAAAACAAACACAAAACCACTGAAAACATTGGTCACAAATGAGATCCAGAAGTTAATGTCTGCTCTGATAGTATACACGAGTGTTAGGGATCGGGAGGAAAGGATTCCTCAGTTAACGATAACAAGTGACCTAAGCTTTTGTCTTTTGGAAAGCAATTTCTCGATAGGAATTAAAGTCTTCCCTTAAAAACTGGTGGCAAAAAAATACACAAACAATAAGTTGTTATTTAACAACAAAAGCCCATTGAATAACAGTGTTGTGTGTGTGAGAGGGGATAAGGAGGGGAACGGGAAGGCCAGTGGAGAGAGAGAGAGAGAGAGAGAGAGAGAGAGAGTGAGTGAGTGAGTGAGTGAGTGATGCCGTTATAAATAGAAAGCACCCGATTCTGTAAAAAACGGTCGCCCCTCTCAATCTTCATCAACACTGATATTATTTTTATAGCCCTAACCCATCGCTACTACTGTTATTACAACCCTAATGATAGTTACGGTCGAACCCCGATTATATTTATAATCAAGTTAAAATTTTGAAGATTCAAATTTTGAGCATGTATCAGATATCTATAATAATATACAGTATGTCTCAAAAATTATTTAACTAGCTTAATTGTTATTTATGCTAGTTAATTATTGTTAATTGTAATGTATATGCAGTTGTTAGACTTTTATCTAGTTAATTAAGGTTTGTCTGTTTCTTAAGCTAAATATTTGGTTTTTATTCACCATTTATTTGACACATTTTTTATAGCCTACCAATAAAGCAGACGACAAAGTAATGTCTTTAACAAGTCTTAGAGTTTAAATTCGCGTATATTATCGTTGACTATAAAAACTATATATAAATATAGAGAATGCAATGAAAAGGGAGATCTTGTGTGAAAACAATTCATTACTTATCCATGAGATTAAAGACAATCTCTTAGAAAAATGGATGAAATATATGAGACAGATATCCGATAACTAATTGACAGCACCAGAGAAATAAATATATTATCGCTTAATAACCAACAAATTCTTTGCATTTAATTTGTTTGCCTATAATTCACATCAATTTATATGATATTAATAGACAATTCATTTAATCATACAATAAAAATATTCACAATCGTATTTATCATAATAAATATTCATTATAATAAATAAAGTAGATATTCATTTGAATAATTCATTTTTATTTCAAAAGGTTTAATTTTATGTAACATTGTATAATTTAAAATTACTTTTTTTTATATAAAACATTTCTCTATATAATTATAAGAAAATTTTGTTTAAAACATTTTCGTATTTTTATTTATCTAACAACTTGTTAATTATGCATGATAACAAAAAATGTATGAATTAACAGAATATTCCTGTGATGGCTTCAGGAATGATTACATAATATGATATAATTATACTACAATAAAATGGTTTTATTCTCATTCATTACTATAAGTGTGTTAATAGTAAAATCCATTTTCGGTGAATCCATAGAATATATATCAGAATTCAACACAGAATCCAAATGCAAAACTCAGTTATTCTGTTAAGTATTGTCTGAAATGATGAATACATTGAGAATTATAACACAAAACACAAAAGAATAGATTAGAAAAAAGTGTTTTTATTATTTTGAATGGCACTTAAGTATCACTCGTTTTGTTGTATATATTTTATACAATAATAAATATAATCTTCATTCAAAAAACAAAGCTTCAAATATGACAATACAAAAACAGTGTTCATATGCTTTTTGTTCCCATCAAATGCTGACAAAAAAGTCGCGATTATTACTATTATTATTAAAAACACAACACAATAGCAGTCATCGCACAGAATATTCTGTACGCTATTATCCATTCATATAATCACTCAACTCATTGACTCTTGACGGGGGGAACGGTAGCACAAAAATACTCAGTGACTATACTCGTATAAAAGGTGGTTTTTATTGATGATGATGGGATGGGTAGGGGGTAGTCATATGACCGTATCATAGGCTGACATTTGCCACTTGTTGTTGCGGTGAATGGGGCTGTTGTTTGCTATTACCGGGTAATAGATTAACGTGTAATACGTTTTGATAGTCCGTTAATTGATTGGCGACGGCTTTGTTACTATGAATAATATTGTTGTGATCCTCTTTGTTATACACGTAAACTCTGCCCCCTTTTGTCGGATACATGTCTTGCATTTTGTAATCTGCTTGTTCAAATATTTGAATGAGAAAAAAACAAAATCCGATTAAATATTTAGTAAACTTTTTTATATGTATGCCATTATTTTTAATTATTCTTAACTTACGAGTTTAATGTATCTTAATTTATTTATTTTTGTATATACCGTATAGTAAACATCTAAAAAACCTACATATGTTTTAAATAAGTTGAATTTCGAAAAGTTTATAAAAATTTAATATTATAATAGTAATTTAAAATTTTTTATCTTAACATTAATTATAATTGAATTAAAATTAGGTCTTTTTATAAGTGTAATAAATTATTTTTTATAGCGACTATTATTAAATTAATTAATAACATTATTTTAATGACTAAACTCACAGTGTGCCTACCAAACAGTAAACCTCCAACTAATTAATGATATAATAATAATCATAAATAATTAGTAATGATACTACAAAACATAATTAAAAACATAATTCTAGTACTAACTGGTAAATAAAAATATCACGTTATATCATATATAAAAGTGGTACTTGGTATGATATATAGTCATATAACAAATATCGGTCATCACTGTATTTGAGACCATAAATAATCACTAATTAATAGCGTAAGGAAATAATTAGGACTCCCGGACTCCTAATATAATACATACACTCGTCAGTGAAATAATTGGAGGCATCGGTGCCATCGAGAAAGCAATTGCGACTACAAGTGCTCTTATGATCATTACATTCATGGCAATTGAGTTCATTATCACAACACGTTGTACTGCCGGCACCACCACCACTCAGGGTAGTGGTCGTAAAATAGGGCACTGGTATGATGTCTGGCGGCCCCACATTGCCATTGCTCTTATGATGATAACCCATGTCCTCATCGCACTTGAACTGATCCATACCATCACTTGAAGTCGTACCACATTTCAGTAAAGTCTGATCACTAGAGCACTCGTCGGTACAGTCGGTGCCCAGCATTGTCTCCACGTTATGGCCGTCCCCCTCCCTGTCCTGACTATCATCACCCGTCATGACATCGATGGCGGCTAAGTGTATGCTAGAGGACGAGTATCTCACTTTAAACACCGCTATTATAGCCATAATCACCACAATTACGGCCACCACTGCCGCCGATATGAGCACACCTATGATTAGGTGTTTGCCATGTATGCGCACCGACCCCTTGCTTAGCGTATTATTAGCTGACATGTCGGCGCTCTCGCCGGTCCCCTCAAAGTCAATCAGTCGTTGCGCTGGGATTAACGTCTGGGTCTTGAGCTCCAGTTCCGTAGCGCTCCGGACGTTACGCGCGTTGACGGCATATATCCGGAGTTTTAATTGAGTTTTTGGCGGCAATTCGTCGATAAAAAAGTCAAACGAAGCGTTTTGTCTCATTAGTCGGTGTCGGATGGCATCCACCGACACATTCCTGTAGAGAAACCTACCGTTCCTCGAGTCGTACACTTCGCACACGTAGTATGTGTTCGGGTGGACAATGAGATAGGGACTAGTAGTTGATGTTTGATGACTTTTACTGCTGGAGTACTTGCTATTATTATTTATGTGTAGCTTATTATGACTTCGTTGTTGATGCGGATTACTGTGAGCTACCGGCGCCGTTGTAGTCGCCGTTAATGATGGGTATTGAGTGGAGTTAGGCGATAGAGCGCCGGCAGCTATGACCGTCCTATTGATTTGTACGCAATTAACGGTAAGCGTGGAGTCGCTTTGATTGATCACTTGGCACTGGTAGGGAAAGTAGGGTTCGGACGTCTGGGTGATTAGGTATTTACACGACTGGCGCTGTATTCCTATACTATTCTTAGCGATGCACTCGATTTGACCGAATTCCTGGTTGGCGTGGGGTGTGTACGATAGGATTGAGCTACCGGTGCCATATAGATGTCATTTGCGAGGGGAATGAGATGATAGGGATAGGGATTGAGAAAATATACAGACGGTTAGTGTCAATATTAATTTATCGCTAAATAAATACAAATATAAATTATATTAGATGTGAGATTAGAGAATATTCTGTGAGTTAGTGATGCTTTAAATACTGATACTATTTATGTGTAGAAGTTGGCGATTAAATTATACTAATGTTTTTATTGGTTTAGTATTTTGTCAGAATAGTTGTATATTATTACAAGAATTATTTTTCCATTTTATCTTATTTATATCTATAAAATCAAGAAATAAATAAAGATATACTTCAAAAACTGAATAATAAAATCTTTAGCAATAAATAAATATTTATAAAACACTTAGAATTTTATAAAATATCATAACCTTTGATTTAATGTGTATTTATTCTCAAGTACATGTATATAACTTTGGATATATGCAATATTTGAAAAGATTCAAAATATTCCTAAAAACTTATTGATTTTTGTTAAAATAAAAAGTTTTCAAATTAAACATTTCTAAGATTTTAATGTACTTAGAAAATTATTTATTTTTATTGTATGTGATTTATAAATTTTTGCTTTGTTTTTCATCTCTCTATTCGTTTCAACATTTATTTTATAACATTTTGTTTTTCTCCACAGAATTCATGATAATTTTTGTCTGTTTTGTCAGTTAGCATTTGGTATTATATTGCTAATGCATATACGGGTAATAAAATACAAAGAATATTCTGCTTTATATTAGTAGAGGATTATTATTATTAAGGAATATAGAATAACTATACTCAGAATATAATAAATATCTTATACAGTACACTTATATCGTATAGGAATGTTAGAAATTCATCCTACATCAGTTTCTAAAATTTTATTTTAATACTGTATATTATTTTTAAATAGTATTTATTCACAAACAATATTAATATCAATATAATGTGTATAAGTTTTATAAATTTAATTATTTATAATTAAAACTATAAATAATTTTTTCTATAGTTTTTATAACTTTTAATGAGTATATTGTATATTAAATTAAGAATAAAAGTTTTAAAACTTACTTTCATAAATAAAATTTAGATTAAATTCCTTATGTTAAATCTTTTTACATATGAAATTCTGTATACTCTGACAAATGTTGATATAAAATAATTATAATTAGTATAAATCATTCTCGCTTTAATAAACTAAATAAAAAAAATTAAATTAATATTAAAAATGCTTACAAGCTTGTACATTATAATTAATTATTATATAATATTAATATCCATAGTACCGAGCATATACTGTACTGTACATTTTATACATGTAACATAATATTCTCGTTTAATATAATATATTAAAACTACTCATTTAAAATTCTATATATTCTACACATAATATATACAGTACTATACTAATAGAGAATCAAAACTTTATTCAAATACTATTATAATTTTTTGGTGTTTTGTTTTGTGAGTGTGTTTTAGATATTAAGAAAAATGTTTAAAAATTTCAATCAAAATTTGCATAAATATTATCGTAAATAATATATAAAAATTTAAAATTAAAATTTATATTCTCAAGGATTCAATATATTTATTTATACATGTAACATTATATGCGTAACCCGTATTTGCTTTACTGTTAAATAGAAAACATTATTATAATGAATATTATATCATTAAAATTCTTACTATGCTTTTAAAATACAGTAGTGTTTCATAGAAAATATGAATATATTATTATTAATGAGAAAATTTTGCATTTAATTAAAAAATAGACTATTTAAATGATTAGTGATTTAAGAATTTTTCAAATATTTATTTATCAAAATATTTATCTCTATTTTCTAAAAAGCAAATTCCTATACACTATAACAAACCCTTTATACTGTTATATAATATAACCTTAAACTTAGATCTAATATAAATATTATCGATATAATGACATAGCATATGCAAAACAGAATATTCTGTTAACATGAATATAAAAATTTGTTTATAAATTCTCCAAACTTAGCAAAAGTATATTTTTCACTAATAAGTATAAAATGGAAAAATATGAATATAAAATAGAAAGTGTGTGTTGTTAAAAAGTGCTGAATATGTGAATGCGAAATCATGTTTGAGACAGACCTGGAGTCATTGATTTGGCTAAAAGTGGCCAAATTTGTGTACGACTCGTATTTCCATTGAAACGAGACTTGCGGTGGATTTGCATCGACTTCGCACTCAATCGCTATACTCTCGTGAAGGGATAGACCGTAAACCAGACTATTGTCATATTTGGAGAAAAATAAAAATTTTAATAAATAGAAAATATTACCTAAAAACTACTTATATAATATAGACACAGAATTTCATATACAGTATTTATAACTAGGAATTTCTAAACACGATATATTATTCTATAAATAAATATTATATATTTTTATAATGGCTAAAAATATTATTATGATATAGAATTGTATGTTAGATGTAAAATAGTTATATCTATCAACAACCTTATAACAATAAATTTATTATTTTTTAGATGAATACAAATCGGCTTAAAAATATCTAAATTTTAAATTTTAAAACAAATCCGTTTTCCAGCAAAAAGATAAATATTTTTATCAAAAATTTTAATGATTATAATCTTCTATAATAATGTGGATATCCATATTATATTTTCATATTATTATAATTCTATACAATGTACTTGCGATATAGTGTAAATTAAAACAATTAATGTAAAATTTATAATCTGAATAATTTATTTTAACTATAATAAATTAAATGTTAATTTATACCCAATATAGTATAGTTTCTATTATTATGCAAGAAATACTAGAAAACACTATTAATTATACAACCCTATTGACAATACGCTAGTTTAAAATAAATTGATTGAATTTGTATACCCACTCCTACCCACCCCACCACCAGTTTCTCAATATATTCTCATTAATTATTTATATATCTATTCATTTGATTGATAAAAAAAAATTCCAACGATTTTGTATTTTTGAAGGAAAAGGAGATGTTTTTGTATTTTGTGTCGTATTTTCTCCGTATATATAAAATGCAATCTCGTTTTGTCTGTGTTTTGTATTTTTTGATTTTGTATTTTCTCTCTCTCCCCGTCCCTATCCTCAGCCATACATTACCAGTGCCTTAAAGTAATTGAATTTCTGTTTTCAATTCATATCATAGAATACCGTTCCCTTAGAGTTAGTTATTAATGATTAATGAATTTTTCGTTATTATTATTATAGCAGAGAGAGACTGTTGTTGTGATCAATAGATTCACACAAAACTAATGTATATTTTAATCGCAATACATAATAACAAATGATACACAACTGCTAGAAAATTGTATAAATTGAAAATGTGTATAATATGCAATAACGTTTTATAAGACTTATAATTGTTTAGTATATACAATTACAAACATAAAAACTTATATTTATTGTTATATAAAATTTAAGTTAAATAAAACTAAATATCGTATTTCATAGATTTATATTAATCTAGATTAAGTTTTCGAAATAATTGCATTCATTATAACATTAAAAACTCTAAATTGTAGCATAGCATAAAATATAATTAAAAGTGAGTTACGAAATATGGTTTAATATAATAATTAAAAATATAATAATTAAAACTAACGATAATCAAGTGCTATAATGAAGTTAATGATGGGGTAGTACTCACGTGTAGGGCTGACTACATACGGGTGCGTACCGTATGCGAAGGTTTATGGCATTGGAGAGTGCAGTTCCCATTTGGTTACTCGATTGGCACTGATATGTTCCGCTCTGCCAACGGTTGACGTGTTGTAAAACTAACGACTGATTGCTTTCGATGATACCTATCGTTATAAATTGTGTGAAAAACAGTGCCTTTGAAACAGTGAATGAAAAACGAGAAAAGTTTTTATAACAAGAATTTCCATTCAAATTCTTTGCGTTTAGTTTACAATCAATTATCTGTTTTAATAAATAAATATCTTGCTAGCTTATTTTTTTTATAAAAATATAGGTATTATATTGATTAACAAATTCACCTAGCATATAGGTTGCATTAAAATGATTGGCAACAAAAATATGCCATCAATATCTATACATAAGCAATGATATCAATTCAAACAATAAATATAAATGTGTTTTTTTGCTTTTGAAATATAAATATTGGATATATTTTTGAATAATAAAAACAGATTTCACATCTCGTGCGAGAGATATATTTGTATATAAAGTCTTATCCGAAAAATAGAGAAAAATAAATTTTTGCTTTCAAATAAAATATTCCCTAAGAAATAAACAAACTCTTCAAATATATGTATGAAATTTTTGGAGACTGAGAGAATAGAGAGAGAGAGAGAGAGAGAGAGAGAGCCGATTGTGAGAGCATTTTGTATAAACAAATTGTAGTCAAAAAAAAGTACACAAAAATAGAGTCAATATTTTACAGTCAAGTAGAGGATAGGGAAGAGTAGGAGATTGAGGAGAAAACTTGAAAAACTATTTTTTCTATTAAAAAACTTTCTCTTATGTGTTGTATTTCTCGGTGTTATTGATCACAAACAGAGAGAGAGAGAGAGAGAGAGACGAGTGTGAGGGAGATGTGACTTATACTCTCTTTCTCTAAGTCTACCGCTTGCATAGAGTCACAGAATATTCTGTGCTTCCATTCAATGCTATTCTCAGCACAAATTGAGTTGAATTTTTCTCTGGGACTCTCTCTCTCTCTCTCTCTCTCTGAAAGAAAAAAATCTAAAGGAATGCAAAATCGATGCTATTATTATGTATTCTCTCACTTCTTATCTCTTTATATGTACACTATTTTGTAGCAAAAATTTCTCAATCTTTCTCACACACTGTATATAATACACTGCAATGTACTGTATATAACAATAGACTATTTTCGCTGTACAAAAGCGCTGTCGTTATAATGTACTCGACACTTAAACATGTGAAAGCGTAAATCAATACACCATACAATTTTGTGCATATCATTCACACATACAATTCACGCTTATTATAGCCGGTAATAGAAATAAATAATCCCATTATTGAAAATGAATATACAATTCGTTGATAAACTAATAAAACTAATAAAGAGGTTCATCGACATTTCAACAGAATATTCCGTACAAAGCCATAGAAAAAAGTGATTTTTGAGTACAAAACTCAATTGTGAGCGACGACTGACACATACCTTGTCTCGTGTGTAAAGCGTTGCCGTTAAAGAGCCACACGATTGGCGTCGTTGGCCGGGGATTGGCGTCTATGTGGCAGTCGAAGTAGATGTCGATCCCCTCTTGAACATTATCTAAACTCATGGTTGGCGTTCCCAGCTTTAGATGCAATTGTGGAGAATCTGTTTCCCATTTAATAGATAGCATACACACACATAGGCAGTGAATAGTCAAGAATATTCTGTTACACAATAGGAATAAAGTGTTTCGCAAGAGAATGGCAAAGGATGTGCCCTAAGAATAGCTGTGTGTATGTGTTGTGTAGGGTATTACGGAAGGGCATGAGCTTTACTTTATTTAATGTAGGAACTGGTAGTGTGTATTATCTGGTATTATGCTGTAAAAAATATATCTACTCCCCATTCATTGAAATTTACAATTCACTACTTTTTAAAGTCCAGACAAACAACTATTTTCTGTAGAAAGAGATAAATAAATATTTTAAAGAGAAAGTGTATTCACTGTAGAATATTCTGTGTATTCTGTGACCACTATTTCAGAGCTATATCTAGAATTGAATTTAGTTTACCATTAGATTACCAAAAAATTTGTACACTATTTGTATACTATAGAGTAGATTATGGAGTATATATTTTACAAAACTAAAACTAACTGTGTACGTGTTTGCATGATTAGCCCCGGTTCATTATTTACAAAATCTTCTAATTAATGATCGTTATGCTCGGGTCAAAAATTGTTTTCGATGAAAATTCCTAGTAGCTAGGCAATCAATCGATTTATCGAGAATTAAATTTTTGGTAAAAAATTAAAATAAATTGTTTTCTGATTTGTCTCACAATATTTCGCTGAGTATAGCATTCGCGGGTTAAATGACCTGAAAATATCTCATTCATTATAAATACTCCGATAATCATAAAGTAATATATAATACGAAAAATAAAAGTATTTTTTTGTAGTTTTCTAGAACTGACTAAAAAGTAAAACTCATAAAACAAAAACAGAAAAATATTTTTCCCTATTAGTGTAGCATGGCACATATTACATAGGGCTGGGGTATATAGTGGTGGACGGGTAGTTCATCATATTCACATACAGTGTACGTTGAGTTTAATTTGATCCGAAATACCAGAGTTGGGTATTTTAGGATTTTGTGCCACACATTCCAGTATCGATCCCCTGTGCTCCCTGTCCACTGTTATGGTTAATGTGGTCGATGTCTGCTGTTCCCCTGTTATGTTGTAGTATTAGTATTATCGGTCGTATTATGATCATACGCCATTCCCATAGTGCCAGTGCCCAGACATGTATGCGGAGTATATATAGATATTTTGAACGTAAAGAATATAATTAATTAGAAATCTAGTGATTAATTCGCGAGTCTTTTGTGTATTCAATAAGTTTGTGTTGAAAAACATTTTTGTAGATAAAACTGCTATAACTCCTAACAAATAGTGTGTGACATTCAAGTGGTACTCAATAATATTGTACTAAATAATACAGTAACTTATATAATATATCTTTTGGATATGTTTTTTGATTCAATTAATACATTTATGTACAGTAGACACTCGTTATACTGAGCTAAAAGTATTTTACTAAAGTTAATACAAAAACTTTACACTTAATATTTTATATAAAATTCTAAATTAATTAATATTGATATTTTCATGTACTAGTTTATTTAGAATAAAACATTTTATATTAGCTGTTATTTTAAAAATTAAACTTTCTAATAAATAAATAAAAACATTTTATGCATTTCAACAAAAATAATAAAATAAAAGTAGCAAATACAGTATATTAATTATTTTACACCAGTATAACCTACAAGTAAAAAACAACATGCACAATTACCATTTCTAATAATCAGTAAACACTGTATAAACAGTTTATTTAATTAACACAAACCGTATCACAAGAAAAATAGCATTGTCTTGATATGTGTTATATATTTTTTGGTTGTGATAATAATATTAATGATTTGATTGGATTAAACAAACCGTGAGATCGGGTATCATGTCGTTTGCCATCGAAGAACCAGTGAATGGTAGGCATCGGTCGCGAACCAAATGAGTTGCACTCAAAGAGCGCCTCCTGTTGTGCCACTAATATGGGCGTCAATTGTGTGATACGGACTTCGGTTGGCTTTACTGTTATAGTGGAACGGGATGTCAGTGAATGGTCGGGTCATTAATTTCAAAGCCATACGACTATGTGTTTTGTGTGTACATTAAATCTTAAGCAATGATTACTAGTTTTTAGTACTTTTTAAGTAGGATTTTAGTGACACTTAACAAGTGCTGTGTTTAATTCTAGCTAATTAGGTGTCAGATATAGTAATACTGAAAAAACAATAAAATAAATACAGAACTAATTCTTAAAAAATTATATGTCAGCATGTTAAATTAAAATAGATAAATGTGCTAAATATTAGACCAATTTATTAAATTTAAAACCTATATTTTAAGCTAAAATTTCTACAATAATTTCAATTGTATTTCTATTCATAAATTCCTTTCATATAAAAAACCAGAATATTCTGCAACCAAAATGAATAATTGCGGGCAAATCGTGTGAAATGTAATTCCCATTTACAAAATGCAATTGAATGTGTAAAACGACATTTAGCTTGCGAAATATGTCGGGCACACAATTTGCGACAATTTTTTAATAATAGTCATAATAGTCGTCATAATAATCATAGCTTTATATTATGTAATGAATGTGAGACGAAAATACACGAAATATACTAACGATTCATATCCAGCGTAATGGATGTCGAGGAGGGAGTTGTTATGTTATTATTGACGGCCTGACACATCAGCACCGATAGTAAATGGTGTCGAGAGAGCGGCGAAATTGTTAATTGATTTGTTGTCACTAATAGATGAGTTGAATAAAAGTAAGAGTAAAAAGAGTTTTTGTTAATAATTGTTCCCGACACAAATAGCATATTCGCATAAATATGTAATTTTGATGACAATTCATAGCGTGTTAATAGAGATGTATTGCATTGTATTATAGTTATGGTTGAGTTTATGGTGCAAATTGTGGGATATTTTTATTAATACCAAAATAAATGTTTTATACAAATGTATGTAATTATTGAGTGAAAGTCGTTTAATTATTTATATTTTATGTGTAATTAAAAGTAATATTTTTTATATTTTATTTGCAACTAATAACAGGGTGGTGGAATATAAAAATATGAAATTAAAGTTATTTAACTTAATATAAAATTCTGAATAAGTCTGAAATGTTTTTCGATTAACTTTTTGTGTTTATAAGTAAAGTATAACAAAAATATTGACGAGTACAAAAAATAAAATACAAAAATAAAAACTTTTGATTAACGCAATCGATTGAATATAGACTTAACTTTCTAACCGAAAAATATACACAAAAATAAAATACATTGAGAGACACAACACAGACAGGAATATATTAAAACTATAAATATATGATTGGGTATGTAAATAGCATATTCGCATAAATATGTAATTTTGATGACAATTCATAGCGTGTTAATAGAGATGTATTGCATTGTATTATAGTTATGGTTGAGTTTATGGTGCAAATTGTGGGATATTTTTATTAATACAAAAATAAATGTTTTATACAAATGTATGTAATTATTGAGTGAAAGTCGTTTAATTATTTATATTTTACGTGTAATTAAAAGTAATATTTTTAATATTTTATTTGCAACTAATAACAGGGTGGTGAAATATAAAAATATGAAATTAAAGTTATTTAACTTAATATAAAATTCTGAATAAGTCTGAAATGTTTTTCGATTAACTTTTTGTGTTTATAAGTATAACAAAAATATTGACGAGTACAAAAAATAAAATACAAAAATAAAAACTTATGATTAACGCAATCGATTGAATATAGACTTAACTTTCTAACCGAAAAATATACACAAAAATAAAATACATTGAGAGACACAACACAGACAGGAATATATTAAAACTATAAATATATGATTGGGTATGTCATCCAGGAATAAAGTGTCGGAAAAATTGAAAAAAAACATATTTTAGTTTCACACAAAAAGTATTATAACTTTAGGCACCATAAAAATATAGCGAAATAACAAATAAAATGTCATATTTTTGGCATTTGTCTCATACCTTCTCTGTCATCAAATTCAAACGTGTCATCAATAATGGCATAATCTCTCCACCAGCTCAGGGATGGACGTGGTGTGCCTGTGAAAACAATCATGGTTATACATTAGTTATACCCGTTAAGTGTCTCGATAT